AATCATGAAAACATGTATGAGATTGTAAATAAACATTCTCGAGTATTTATCACTCAAACATGTACGGTTTGTGAACTCAAAATATACATAGAATGAAAGTCAGGTACTTTTTGATCAAATCACATCATAAGTTTCAAAGAGATTTTTTTTCGGTCATAGTTTCAAAGAGATTCAAACCAATCCAGATCTATAATATTTTATACAGATACAAGTAAAAAATTAGATATGTAATAAAAATAGTAGGTCAAAATTGGTGAAAAAATGAAGGACTTATTTTGAATTAAGGAAAATTAACTAGATGCGGTTCAATTAATTGAGACTCTTTGATTAGCTAGAGTAAGAAGTCCCTAACTGAGCGTATTATGGGGGCCTGCCAAGCAATACCGACAAGGATTAAGGGGGGATCTCGCTTTTGCATAGCTCAGGTCGGAGCAAGGTGACATTGGACATTCAACAGGTAGTCTGACAATCGGGCATGATTGTTCAGAAGTTGTCATTGTATATTCCTGCGGATTGGAAGCTGATTGGGGTCAGAGGGGAATATAGGGTGAGATCTATTAGCAGCGAATTCTCTATTTATAGCCTTAACCTTAATGATTAGGAAAGGAAAAAAAAAAATCTACTTTGATTCAGAAAAAATGATCCATACATATCTTTCATTTGTTTCCAACATGCTCAACCCAAGATCCTCGACTTGGTCTGCTCTTTTTTTTTCTTCAAATCTCTTTTAGACTTGCTTAGGGTTGAAAAATGTGCAAGATAACCCCTAAAATATGACACCAAGGGTTTAAATAGGTCTAGAGTCAATGACATCGACGTTCTGAAACACATCAGTCATAAAAATGCGCGTCCAAACTCAAGTCACACGTCAAAACAAACTAAATTCATTATGCAAAATCTCAAACACGCTTTTCAGATGAAAATATTACATCCAGACGCACTTAACCTTTTACCAAAACTTCAAGATGTGCGTTCGGACGCAAATCTCACGTCCAGACAAACCNATTTGAAGCAAAGTATATATAAATATTAGCCCTACCCTCAATGAATAGGAATGGAAAAGAAACCATAACTTGATTCTATAGATAATTACTCGTAAGGTATTTTGTGTGATTATCTACTCGTTGATCCCTTCAAGGTCTAGTTCAATCTATTCTTTTTCTCCTCTCCTTCTATCTAAGGCTCTCCTAAAATGCGTCTCTAGGGTATTTATAATATCAAAAACGAGGAAAACCTTAATCGGGTTGTCTTTAGTGAGGTGTCTGAACGGTGGATTGGCGTTTGGACGGTGCCAACTTACAATACCTTATTTCTAATGCCGCAAGAATCAGATCAATNACTTCAAGATGTGCGTTCGGACGCAAATCTCACGTCCAGACAAACCTATTTTTTTTTATCCAAGTCGTGTTTGTGGTACTCAGTAGTTCAAAAATTACAATTTTGCCTCTATCTTTTAATTCACCTCATATCACTTTCTTAAGGTTTTTCAATTCTCCACATCCGTTTTTAATGCTATTTTCACCCAAAGACCTTCAGAAAATCACCTAATTGATATCTCCTAAGCATGATCACTCCAAACATGACAATTAACCCAAAAGCCGAAATCATTCAACTATTCTAACATCGTGATAAATATTCTATTAGATAAAATAAATACACAGGACCTTACATGATGACTAGTGATCTTTAAGCATTCTATTCTATTGTGCCATAACTTTTGGGTTGCCATCATCAATTGTGGAGAAGGAGAATTGAATTGGTCAAGAGAGAAGTTTAATTAAGTTGAATTTTTTATTTTACGAAATAATCTGATTTAATAAAACTACCCCTAAATGTTTTGCAAAACTTTTTGTCTTGGGGTAAATTGAAAAAAGTAATAAGTGGGGGAAAATTTTAATTTGCTTCAAACTTCTCAAAATTGTAATTTGACCTCAAAATTTCTTGAAATTGCAGCGGGGACAGGTGCCAATTAAGCTATAATTTTTGCTAAAATCCTACTCTTATTGAGTTATTCAAATCAGATTGGAATATGGACTATAAAAATGAAATTGATTGGATAATTTAATCTAATTAGGATTGCAGTTATCGATTTAGATTCTGATCAATGAAAACACGATTCGAGGTCTATCTGTTGACAAAGCCTACTCGCAACAGATGCACTAAAATGGCTTATTTGTTCCGTACAACTGCCCCTCTCCTTGGTGTCTCTTATTTTGCTTGCTGACCCTAGGATGTTCAACTCCCCTGACTTCTATGTATTGGTGCCTAAATGCAACTATAAGGTCCTCACACACACACACACAAACAACTGGTGCCGCAATATATCAAATCATGTACAAGTGTTCACCCGTCCAAGGATACATTGCAAATTCAGAAACAAAAACCATCCTGTCCNACAAACAACTGGTGCCGCAATATATCAAATCATGTACTAGTGTTCACCCGTCCAAGGATACATTGCAAATTCAGAAACAAAAACCATCCTGTCCAAAAATACGAATAAGACTCCTTACCGCTCCTGGATTTTTTTTTCCCGCTATATGAAATAGTAAATACGAACATAAGTAATGTAAAAGAAAAGAATGCAATCGGAAGTGAACATATTTAGAATTATTAGCCCCAAAACTAAAATGCAAAANTGGATTAGCTAGAGTAAGAAGTCCCTAACTGAGCGTATTATGGGGGACTGCCAAGCAATACCGGCAAGGATTAAGGGGGGATCTCGCTTTTGCATAGCTTAGGTCGGAGCAAGGTGACATTGGACATTCAACAGGTAGTCTCACAATCGGGCATGAGTGTTCAGAAGTTGTCATTGTATATTCCTGCGGATTGGAAGCTGATTGGGGTCAGAGGGGAATATAGGGTGAGATCTATTAGCAGCGAATTCTCTATTTATAGCCTTAACCTTAATGATTAGGAAAGGAAAAAAAAAANAAAATGGCTTATTTGTTCCGTACAACTGCCCCTCTCCTTGGTGTCTCTTATTTTGCTTGCTGACCCTAGGATGTTCAACTCCCCTGACTTCTATGTATTGGTGCCTAAATGCAACTATAAGGTCCTCACACACACACACAAACAACTGGTGCCGCAATATATCAAATCATGTACAAGTGTTCACCCGTCCAAGGATACATTGCAAATTCAGAAACAAAAACCATCCTGTCCAAAAATACGAATAAGACTCCTTACCGCTCCTGGGTTTTTTTTTCCCGCTATATGAAATAGTAAATATGAACAAAAGTAATGTAAAAGAAAAGAATGCAATCGGAAGTGAACATATTTAGAATTATTAGCCCCAAAACTAAAATGCAAAAACAGTGCTGTTACATTCTAGTTGTCCAGTTGAATAGATCACAATAAAATTTGGGCAATACACCCAGATGCTCCCATGCTTATCTGCAACAAGAAGCACTCACAGCCATATACACAAACATGGATATTCACACACAAGACACACCTCGTGGGTTTCCTCTTGATCATAGATTTCAAAATCAAGAAAACCATAATAAGAAGAACAGCCCCCACATAGTCACAAGAGTGGTTGNTACTCTTTTTTCTCGTCTCTTTTTTTTTCTTCAAATCTCTTTTAGGCTTGCTTAGGGTTGAAAAATGTGCAAGATAACCCTAAAATATGACACCAAGGGTTTAAATAGGTCTAGAGTCAATGACATCGACGTACTAAAACACATCAGTCATAAAAATGCGTGTCCAAACTCAAGTCACACATCAAAACAAACTAAATTCATTATGCAAAATCTCAAACGCGCTTTTCAGATGAAAATATTACATCCAAACGGACCTAACTTTTTACCAAAACTTCAAGATGTGCGTTCGGACGCAAATCTCACGTCCAGACAAACCTATTTTTTTTTATCCAAGTCGTGTTTGTGGTACTCAGTAGTTCAAAAATTACAATTTTGCCTCTATCTTTTAATTCACCTCATATCACTTTCTTAAGGTTTTTCAATTCTCCACATCCGTTTTTAATGCTATTTTCACCCAAAGACCTTCGGAAAATCACCTAACTGATATCTCCTAAGCATGATCACTCCAAACATGACAATTAACCCAAAAGCCGAAATCATTCAACTATTCTAACATCGTGATAAATATTCTATTAGATAAAATAAATACACAGGACCTTACATGATGACTAGTGATCTTTAAGCATTCTATTCTATTGTGCCATAACTTTTGGGTTGTCATCATCAATTGTGGAGAAGGAGAATTGAATTGGTCAAGAGAGAAGTTTAATTAAGTTGAATTTTTTATTTTACGAAATAATCTGATTTAATAAAACTACCCCTAAATGTTTTGCAAAACTTTTTGTCTTGGGGTAAATTGAAAAAAGTAATAAGTGGGGGAAAATTTTAATTTGCTTCAAACTTCTCAAAATTGTAATTTGACCTCAAAATTTCTTGAAATTGCAGCGGGGACAGGTGCCAATTAAGCTATAATTTTTGCTAAAATCCTACTCTTATTGAGTTATTCAAATCAGATTGGAATATGGACTATAAAAATGAAATTGATTGGATAATTTAATCTAATTAGGATTGAAGTTATCGATTTAGATTCTGATCAATGAAAACACGATTCGAGGTCTATCTGTTGACAAAGCCTACTCGCAACAGATGCACTAAAATGGCTTATTTGTTCCGTACAACTGCCCCTCTCCTTGGTGTCTCTTATTTTGCTTGCTGACCCTAGGATGTTCAACTCCCCTGACTTCTATGTATTGGTGCCTAAATGCAACTATAAGGTCCTCACACACACACACACAAACAACTGGTGCCGCAATATATCAAATCATGTACTAGTGTTCACCCGTCCAAGGATACATTGCAAATTCAGAAACAAAAACCATCCTGTCCAAAAATACGAATAAGACTCCTTACCGCTCCTGGATTTTTTTTCCCGCTATATGAAATAGTAAATATGAACAAAAGTAATGTAAAAGAAAAGAATGCAATCGGAAGTGAACATATTTAGAATTATTAGCCCCAAAACTAAAATGCAAAAACAGTGCTGTTACATTCTAGTTGTCCAGTTGAATAGATCACAATAAAATTTGGGCAATACACCCAGATGCTCCCATGCTTATCTGCAACAAGAAGCACTCACAGCCATATACACAAACATGGATATTCACACACAAGACACACCTCGTGGGTTTCCTCTTGATCATAGATTTCAAAATCAAGAAAACCATAATAAGAAGAACAGCCCCCACATAGTCACAAGAGTGGTTGCCAGCGGAAAATTCACAATACTCATCCGATCAATACATGCAGTCAGATAAAAGATCCAGACCAGTATGCCTCCTCAAACCACAAAACGTCATGAATTTCGATCAATATAAAAAATTAACAAATACCACCTAGTGTAGTTCCCATTAATGAAAATCTGGTTAGTCACCACTGAAAATCCTCATATAGATAATATATCATCTGGTGGCTCCATATCGCCAAGTCCAAGTGAAAATGCATATCTTTTATCTTTGAACATCTTTTGCCCACATCCCCATTAAGGTTGATGTTGAGACATTGTTCCAAAACAAGTGAATCAAGGTGAGGGCAACCATCAAGAAGTGCTTGCAAGCCAATATTTGTCATTCTATTACCTTCGAGTTGAAGATGGCGTAATCCAGGGATGTTCTTCGCAATAGCTAGTGCCTCATCATTATCGTTCAGGGTATCATCACGATACTTATAATTCTTTATGATCCATTTCTGGTTATATGTGAATGATTTCAAAAGTGGGCAACAGCAACCAATGGTTTCGATGGCTTCTTTGTCAATGTAGGTGTAGTAAAGATGAAACTCCTCCAGTAATGGTAGTTTTTCGACTACTACATTCAATCTTTCAGTTGATAACTTACCGCAACTCACCAATCGAAGATGTCTTAGCTGGGTGGATCTGTTAACAAGCTCCAAAAGTGACAGGAAAAGGTCAGTAACTACATATCGAAGATGCCACAACAAACACAGAGCTCAAGTGAAAGCTTGGGTGTCAGTTAGAGATCAATCCAAAGTTCAACCAAGCCAAGCTCAAACGTCACAACACACGTCTTGACTCTGAAGTCCTCAGACCCAAATGCAGGAGACATACTTGTGTCGTGTCAGCTTAAGATTATTTGCATAGATAAAGTTTGGAAATCAGCAACACTAGTATTTCCACGCAGATTCATGGGTCATGTGAAATGAAACTAATGTATGCACAATGTAACACATTTTCAATGAGAAAAATATGCCACATCACAAAACCCATCTCTTTTCCTCTACTTTTCAGGTAACCGACAAGGATAAGAAGAAACTAAATTTCATCCAACAAATAATTTGAGGACAATATAACGAGGCAGCAGCATCTCTGTAAGCTAACCAAATAACCATATTCCCTAAACTAAATTGAACTTTCCAGTAATTGAGACCAAAAAATATTAAATTTTCATGCTCAATTATTTTCCTCAGTTTCATGCCAACTGTAGGGGATTAATCCGTGCATTCAGGATGTCCTCCCTCTACAGAAGGATTATGGCTGACCTGGCGTAAGCCTACGCGTTGTATCAGTAGTCTTTTTACCTCTCTGCCTGTTGGGAGCTAGTCCCACATCGGAAGAGAGTCGTCTCCCCCCCTCGCATATAAGCCTGGGCATTACATGGAGGAGGTACCCACTAGCCACTTTGGTGGACGGGATTCCCTCCCCCCGAAACGATTATGGCTGACCTGGCGTAAGCCTACGCTTTGTGTCAGTAGCCTTTTTACCTCTCTATCCATTGGGAACCAGTCCCACATCGGAAGAGAGTCGTCTCCCCCCCTCGCATATAAGCCTGGGCATTACATGGAGGAGGTACCCACTAGCCACTTGCCGATGTGGGACTGGCTCCCAACGGACAGAGAGGTAAAAAGGCTACTGGCATAAAGCGTAGGCTTACGCCAGGTCAGCCATAATCCTTCTATGGAGGGAGGACATCCCGAACGCGCGGATTAATCCCCTACACCAACCATACTAGATTAAACTTTTTTTGGCATCTCGACTTCCCTGATGCTTCAAGTAAAGGAAGATACAACTGATTCGTCTTCGGCCTCCTCATGGGCATTGTCGCGGTGCGACCTCTGTCACTTGGCGTCGAGCTGGAGCTAAGATCCTCTCGGGGGCCTCCCCTTCTGTGTTTTTGAGCCCCATTGTCCTTTACTGAAATGGTTGAATCCGTGTGGGACCCCGCCCTTTTGGCTATGTCCGAAAGTTTATGGTGGAGGTCCCTGCACGGCAGTGCCACGTTGCGCTTTCTCTTTTTATCACAGTCATTCTCAGGGCGTGATTCCAATTTTCGGTCCAATCAATACCGAAGACCCCCCTCTAAATTTGGCAAGGGTCGCTGGACTGGCTCTGTCGGACATTCCCGCCTTCCCTCCTTCTGCTCCGTCGACTAATCTCTTTCGATCGAANGCCCGAAAGTTTATGGTGGAGGTCCCTGCACGGCAGTGCCACGTTGCGCTTTCTCTTTCTATCACAGTCATTCTCAGGGCGTGATTCCAATTTTCGGTCCAATCAATACCGAAGACCCCCCTCTAAATTTGGCAAGAAGGGTCGCTGGACTGGCTCTATCGGACATTCCCGCCTTCCCTCCTTCTGCTCCGTCGACTAATCTCTTTCGATCGAAATCATCTAGTCGATTAAGTACGTTGACGTTGTCTCGTTCAATTTGTTCCAAATGGTCACCCAATCGTTCCTCCATGAGGTCCATTATCTCTCGCGCAAGGACCCCACACCCTCCCAAGCTTTGGTCCACTAGCAGGGTGTGTTGAGAATTTTGCCGAATCCCGTTCGACTGGTCCAAGGAATGAGATTTTGTTACCACTGGGAGAGGAGGAATCCCCATGTTTCTCACACATAAGTTGTCTCCCGCTTCATTTTGTGATCAAGTGGTCACCACAGTAAATTTCTACGAGAAAGTTGATTCGAGTGTTTCCCACAGACAGCGTCAAATTGTACTGGAGTGTTCGTGCAATGGATTGAGATATCAACTTTCAAGATGGACTCGATGATCGATCTTGAAACAGAGAATGATGTTAGAAAAAGGAGTTGGGTGTGCACCCGGCTTGCCCTCTCGGATACTTAAGTCAGTTGGTGCTTCAATATGAGAGCGTATACAATAAAGAACAATTTTTGCTTGCATACCTGAGCTCTGTTTCGATGGAGTATTTATACCTTGGATTACGATGATGTCTCTCCCATCTGAATTTCAATCCTAGTCTTTAGCAGTCTGTGCTCATCGCCTAGCATAATAAGTGATATTTTGTCACACCTCATTAATGCTGGGTGATTGGATGTCCGAGTTTTCATGCTGGAATGGATTGTGCATTTATGACTCCATCCCGACCATCAAGTGCTCTAGTTAAATGCCTATAGTCTACTGTCGAGCATTTATGAGCAAAAGCTAGGGCCATGGGACCCCCTAGTGACTACCCTTTACTCATGATAGCCGCAGCCCCTTAGTTTGACAATTGTTCTCGGGTTCTATGTGGACTAGACAATCAATGATAACCAGTCGCATCACTTTTGTTCCAGGTTCACACATCGATGTCATTTAATACTCGACATTGGCTATGTCTCTCGGCCCCGAGTACTCCAATCAACCGGTCTCAGTTACCGGGGGAATCCCATGCATTTCGACCGCCTTGGGTAACCACATGTCAATTTCTAGTTGGATGGCCGCCAGCGTCCATCAATACCCACGTGCTTTACTAAAATTATAAATGATACCCTCGTGGTTTCTGAAACCCTTCTTGTTTGGGACTCTATTTCACATGATACCTATTATTAACCGTTAGTCAGATCAATAGAATTTGCAAACATCGTGATAGTTTTCATTTTTCAAAAGTACCCCTCTAAATATGATCCACAGACACACACCCTAACCAAGACACAACCCAAACTTAGATTACTATTGATCTCCCCTTTTCCCCATTGTGCACCCGAACACATCGCCCATCAAAACACAAAACACAATACGCCAATCATCACTTTTCCACCTAGCAATATCATTTGGCTACTATCGAGGAAGAGATACAGAGACAAAGACAGAGAAGCAGGCTTGTTTGTGGATGCATGTGTTGGTGTGATGCTAGGGGACGTATTGCGACTATGGTGTGCATGTGTAGCATGATTATGGTGGCCTCCTGGTGAGGGGGGGGGGGGGTTAATTTGGTGCTGGCCTTGTTATAACTCTTGAGTTAATTGGTGTATTTCAAAAGCTGAAAAATCCCTTGTCTTCTATCCATTGGAGTTGAACACTCGTAATAACCTTTCTCTTTTACTCCTATTCCATACCAATTAGAAAACAAGAGTTTTCACCTCCGATACTATTGCCCTACAAAGCCTTAGCAAATTGTCAGCTAGGATATAGTGGTACAATTGAACGCAAGAGTCCAAGGAATGTGGAGAAACCGCTTTGGAAACCAATTAGTCGGACACATCACTCACAATCATCATGCGCAAGGGTTTGAAAATCCCTGGATTTGGGCCTTGTGGGTGTGCTTGAACCAACCCAAGTTCTACTACTTTGACCTTTTAATTTTACCGCATGGAAAATATGTCAAACAAATAAATTGAGTCATTCTTGAGCAGAACAAACACAGCCATATACATGAACATGCATATTCACAGACACAGACACACCTCATGGGTTTCCTCTTGATCATAGGTTTCAATATCAACAACCCATAATAAGAAAAACAGCTCCACATAGTCAAAAGAGTTGTTGCCAGCAGAAAATTGACAATATTTATTCTATCAAGACATGCAGTCAGATAAAAGATTTAGACCAGTATGCCTTGTCAAACCACAAAACGTTGTGAATTTAGGGCAATATAGAAAAATAACAAAAACCATCCAGTTTAGTTCCCATTAATGAAAATCTGGTTAGTCACCACCAAAAATCCTCAAATGTATCATCTGGTGGCTCCATATCGCCAAGTGAAGTATCAAATTCATAGCCTTCAGTGGGGTTGAAAGGAAGCTTCATATCTTTTATCTTTGAACATCTTTTCCCTAAATCCCCATCAAGCTCGATGTTGAAGCATTGTCGCAAATCAAGTGAATCAAGGTGAGGGCAACCATCAATAAGCGCTTGCAAGCCATTATTTGTCATACTATTTCCTAAGAGTTGAAGATGGCGTAATCCAGGCATGTTCTTTGCAATAGCTAGTNAGAAGCGCTTGCAAGCCATTATTTGTCATACTATATTTCCTAAGAGTTGAAGATGGCGTAATCCAGGCATGTTCTTTGCAATAGCTAGTGCCTCATCATCATCATTCTCCATGGGATAGAGTGGAAACCATTTCTGGTTATATGTGAATGATTTCAAAAGTGGGCAACAGCAACCAATGGTTTCGATGGCTTCTTTGTCAATGTAGGTGTAGTAAAGATGTAACTCTTCCAGTAATGGTAGTTTTTTGACTACTACATTCAAACTTTCAGTTGATAAATCATGGAAAATTACCACTCTAAGACGTCTCAGCTGGCTAGATCTGTTAACAAGGTCCAAAAGTAACAGGAAAAGGTCAGTAACTACATATCGAAGATGCCACAACACACCCTGAGATCAAGTGAAAGCTTGGGTGTCAGTTAGAGATCAATCCAAAGTCCAACCAAGTCAAGCTCAAACGTCAAAACACCTCTACTCTGAATTCCTCAGACCCAAATGCAGGAGAGACATACTTGTGTCATGTGTCAGTTCAAGATTATTTGCATAGGTAAGTTTGGAAATTAGCAACACTAGTATTTCCACACNCCAAACACCTCTACTCTGAATTCCTCAGACCCAAATGCAGGAGAGACATACTTGTGTCATGTGTCAATTCAAGATTATTTGCATAGGTAAGTTTGGAAATTAGCAACACTAGTATTTCCACACAGATTCATGGGCCATGTGAAGCGAAACTAACATATCCACATTGTAACGCATTTTCAATGAGAAAAATATGATACATCGCAAAACTCATCTCTTTTCCTCTACTTTTCAGGTAACTGACAAGGATAGAAAGAAATTAAATTTTATCCTACAAATAATTGGAGGAAAATATAATGAGGCAGCAACATCTCTATAAGCTCACCAAATAATCATATTCCCTAAACTAAATTGAACTTTCCAGTATTTGAAACCAAAAATACTAAATTTTCACGTTCAATTATTTTCCTCAGTTTCACGCCAACCATACTAGATGCAACTAAGTAATTTCGAATGATAATCCTATACATCTTTGGTACGCTTTACAAGACATCTAACTCCAAAATATTCACTTTGATCAACAATGCTCCCTATTCAATTCAAGCAAGTTAAGATATCCATCTCAAATTAGTAGAAAACAATCTCCTTTCCTATGATTCCCTACAACCACAAGAATTCACTCAATTCAAAGCCAACCACAACATTCAAAAGTTTAATCACATGGCATCACTCATCGTACTTAACGACATACAAGAATTAACATCTGTTAAGTTGGTAGTCATAATTCTACCCCCAATCATTTCATTTTCACCCTAAAAGTATCACTTGACCAACCTTTCCGGTACTCACCAAAACAATGAGTACCCTTCGAGCCTTGACAAGAAATTGTGTCGACATTATAATGCCTCGACCCTTTTGCAAAATGATATAGGTTGTGATAGTCATTTGCATGAATTACTCTAAACAAAGAATTCATACCCTTGTGGCTTACTAAAATTATAGATGATACCCTTGTGTTTCTGAAACCCATCTAGTTTGGGACTCGACTTCACATGATGCCTATTGTTAGTCAACCACTAGACAGACCAATAGAATTTGGAGACATCGTGATAGTTTTCATTTTTCACATGTACCCCTTTTGAGTATGATCCACAAACACACACCCACAACCCAACCACGACACAACCTAAACTTGGATTACTATTGATCTGCCACCACCTCCATTGATCTTCTGTTCTCTCTCCCGTCCTCCCCACTGTGCACCCGAACACATCGCTCATTAGACCACAAAACACAATACACCACCTATCACCTATTTGTGGATGCATAGCATGATTATGATGGCTTCCCGCAGGGGGAGGAGGCTAATTTGGTGCAGGGCCATGTTATAACTCTTGACTTAATTGGTGTATTTCAAAAGCCAAAAAATCCCTTGTCTTCTACCCATTGGAGTTGAACACTCTTGTAGTAACCTTTCTCTTTTACTCCTATCCCATACTGATTAGAAAACAAAAGAGTTTGCACCTTAGATACTATTGCCCTACAAAGCCTTAACAAATTGTGCGCTAGGATATATTGGTACAATTGAGCGCAGGAGCCCAAGGAATGTGGAAAAACCGCTCTGGAAACCAATTAGTTGGACACATCACCACAATCATCATGCAAAAGAGTTTGTAAATCCCTGGATTTGGGCCATGTGGGTGCGCTTGAACCAACCCAAGTTCTACTACTTTGACTAATATGTCAAATAAATAAATTAAGTCATTCCTGAGGAGAACAAGTACAACCATCTTCACATTCATTTCTCTATACACGAAAACCTCTTTGTCTACTTATGTTATTTTGTGTTAATGACTTTTTGGGAAATCAAAGCCATTGTTCTTGGCTCCTCATACCATGAATGCATGTTTTTGAGAAACGAATGTTGTAAACTGGCGCGTAGGCGTCATTGATCTATTGCATCAAGGCAAGGTCTCCAAGGGGTAAAATCTACCCTTAAAGATAGAGATTTGTCACGTCTTAGTTGATAATTGCTATAACCTTGTTCAACTATATACAGATTACTACATTGTTGGGTGTAGAGTGGTGTCTGGAAGAGCTAGATGAGGCAAATATAGTGGTTGTCCAAAGGGGAAGGAACATTGATTTGGGTGGTAGCCTTCATGGGAATGGGTGAATCTAATGGTCGTAAGGGAATGGGGCCGAGCGGTCTCTGTGTTTTGGGAGGTGGCCGGAAAAAGGGGTGGGGTGGGGGCTAGTTGGGGCATCTGTATCTATGTGTATGCATAGGCCCCATAAGTTTTACATGACTCCTATGTTCACTTTTAAGTTTTCAAAAAAGCTTACATGTAGGCAATTCACTTAGTGTATTCAATATCAATGAGCTATAAATAATCAAACTAGAGATATAGTTAAACTAGCAATAATGCCGTGCCTAAATGCAATTGTAATACTAAAAATCGAATATTCATCGTACAATATTTATATTTTACATAACAGCTTATTTTTTGTTTCCTTTTCTTTAATTACATAATTTTAAATTAAAGTGAACAGAGAGAGGTAAGGGGAAAGAGAAGAAAAAAATTGATGTGGATTAATGATATTGTTTGGTATAGGGGAGTATGTTAGTTAAGGTGTGTAGCATTGGAAGTTATGCAAAAAAAGTGGTATTTTTTAGGGGAAAAATTTTTTTGAGATGAATTTTATATCATTGGATCAAAGTAAATGAAAATCGGATTAGTCTTGACCGTTGTTGTGCTTTTATAAGTTAAGAATCCAATTTTCTACCCATAATATTAGATAGATAGATGAGTATTATTCTTACCATCGAAGATAATTGATTGGACAAGTCTAATGACTATAGAAAATTAAAAATATGTGCGAAATTTTAACAAAATCAAATTATAAATGTTGCTCATATAAAAAACAATGCAATGACTCATGACTTAATTTTACTATGGTATTGTGTGAAAATCTTATATGTGAGGGTAATTTATTCAAAAAGTCATTACGTTACGTCGACCAAAAGGATTGTGACACTATCATAGACTAACTTTTACAATTATAAGAGCCAATTTTTGGATTTGATAATCCAAACTACAATGGTATTGTATGAAATTGGATTTCATATATTTGTATAACTAAAAACATATACTGTTACGTAAAATTCTTAGAGTATGTCATTGTTTGGCCTTCAAGATGGAGTCCTTGTTCTGTCTCTGTGAATGATCACTATTTTCTAAGATGGTTCTGTTCATATTTTGTTATGAAATTTAAAATTGGTTTTCAAGGGGTGCCGAAGAGTTCATCTACACCCATCTAATCATATTTTTAACCAATGTAAGATCGTAACATGCTTCTACCATCAAATCAAATTATTTGCAAGTTGTCCAATCCATAGGGTTTACATGTCATTTATTCAAAAAGTAAATCATAAACTACATATATACATGTGTTACGTGCACATTTTTTGAGAAAATATAAACAAAACGAAAATAGAACTGGGAAAAAAATCCACTTATAGGAGAGTGAAAGTCTCTAGTAGTTCATTTTGAGGGAAACCGATCTCCAAAATGTTTACTAGGAAAGCTAACCAGAAATCCAACATATCCATTTCATTGATGAAGAGCTTTTAAATATAAAATGATAAAAACTATCATAACAACTAACCTAACCCATGACACCACCATCTAAGTAACCAACTAGAACATTCTCACAAATACTATGAGGAGTCATCCCACTTCCTTTTAAAAATTGTCCTCAAAGTTTAATTGTCATGAAACAAGGAAGCAGCCAACCCACCTCCGTGTCCTCATAACAATCAACGTGATATTTGGCCTCACGACTCCAAAACGACCTACAATAATGATCCAAAGGGCTGGATTTATATGGGTAGCTTGAACATGCTCCATCAGTTGCTTGTCCTTGTAATAGGCAAGGTCGTACACAATTCCTAGGCATGCCTCACAGTCTAGTGGTTGCAACTTTGACTCCATCGACTCCCAAAATTTAGCCTTTTGTGCTATCCCTTCAATATGTGAACCTTCAATTCTCTTGCAACTGACATTTTGTTTTGTCCTGGTGGAAGACTTCTTCAACTTCTCATCAATAGAACAATTTATTTTATGATTACTTGATGGATGATCAATTGATGCATTTTTCTTGCATAGAAGTACCTGCTCACGATCTTGGTAATGAAAGTATAAAACAAGTTGATTGGCATCTGAATTTTCCTCTAGAAGAATTTTCTTGAGTTTGCTGAAACCTTCTTTCATGCGTCGATTTTCCTCAATCAACTTGTGGAATGTTTTTGGAAATTGTCACGCATCAATTTCAAAATTTCCAATGGAGTAGCCAATAATAGGATCGCCTCACTTTGATACCAAATGTTACGTAGACATTTTTGAAGAAATATAAACAAAACAAAAAATTGAATTGGGGAAAGAAAAACCCGCTCGAAAAAGGGGTGAAAACCTTCGGTGGTTCACTTCGAGGGAAACCAATCTCCAAAACCTCCACTAGGAAACTTAATCACAAATCCAACATATCCCTTTTATTAATTGAAGGACCTTCAAATACAAGATGATAAAAACTAACTTCACAATTAACCTAATCCATGAGCCCACTATCTAAGTAACCACCTAAAAGCTAACCACAAATACTTTATTACTAACTCACTAATAACTACATCTAATGTTACTTAAAAGTTATACTGAAAATATACACAACATTACATTCCCCTTAAATAAAATTTGTCCCCAAAGTTTGATGTGTCAGGTAGAAAAGGAGAAGGTCATCCCACTTCTTTTTAAATACTGTCCTCAAAGTTCAATTTTCATGAAACAAGGAGGTGGCCAATTGCTTGTCCTTGTAATAGCCAAGGCCATACACAGCTGCTGGGCATGCCTTGCAGTCCAATGGTTTCAACCTTGACTTTATCGACTCCCAAAATTTAGCCTTTTGTGCTCTGCCTTCAACATGTGAACTTTCGATTCTCTTGCCGCTGCCTTTTGTACCTGCTCGTGATCTTGGTAATGAAAGTATGGATTTCGTTGATTGGCATCTGAATTTTCTTCTTGAGGAATTTCTTGCATATGACGATTTTCCTCAATCAACTTGTTGAATGCTTTTTGGAAATCATCAATTTCAAAATTTTCATTGGAGTAGCCATTGGTAAGATTATCTAGCTCTTATACCACGTACACATTTTTAGGGAAAATATAAACAAAATGAAAAATAGAATCAGGGAAAGAAAACCTGTTTCGAGGGGATGAAAACCTCCCGTGGTTCACTTCGAGGGAAACCGACCTCCAAAATATCCACTAGGAAAGTTAATCACAAATTCAAAATATTCATTTCATTGATGGAATGATTGAAAGGCCTTTAAAACCTTAACAACTATCCTAACTCATGACTCCACTATCTATATTAACCAACCTAGACACTACCCACAAATACTCTAACACTACCTCACTCACTAATAACTAGCTAACACCTATCTCTTACTTTACTTAAAAAAATATACTAAAAATATGCACATAACAACATACAAATCTATGAAATTCAAGTGCGGTAAGATTCTTCCAGATCAAAAACAAAAAGTGGGAGCAGTACCGATCGGCAATGTACTCGAGCAATTCGTCGGTGCCGAAGTACTCGATATTGATATCGATTAATTGACCTTGGCTCCGATCAACGGCGTGCCTACACATCTTCTCAAGATCATAGGGTATGCTATGCAAATCCCCCAAATTGCACATATCTATGACTCTCCACATGGCCGGGTCTTTGCATATTCTCCGCCAGGTAGTGCACACCTTCTGTACATTCTCCAGTATGTCTATTGCCCCCACCCTGTGAAGTATTGAGGCAGTCACGTCCGATGGGAGTTGTAGCCAGTTAGGGGTTTGTTTTGGCCGACGTCGGGTTCGAGAATGAGAGGGTTTTCTCTTCATTTTTTTGGGTAAATGGGTATGAGAGGTCGGTGCTATTTTTTGTTTGCAAAGATTACAGGGGAATGTTTGGTGCTTTTTCTAGGATAACAACAGAGTTTGGTGTGTGTGTGTGTGTGTGTGTGTGTGTGCGAGAGAGAGATTCATCTTCACGCTTATAAATTTGTTATTAAGCACCTTCTGCGCTTATTTAAATTTAAATTTAAATAAAAAAATTTAAAAAATCTGTTTTATCTTTTACTCAAACTTATACCAAAACAAGAAAGCTCATTTTTTTTTTACTTAAATCAAGAGAGGCTCAAATTTTTACTAAAATATTTAATTGTGACATTTTATCATTTTTTAAATATATAATGATCATTCTTACTGCCTTTTAAATTTAGGTTTACCCTCGTTTAAATTTGAATCTCTCTTTTTTTAAATTTGAGTTTATCTATGAAAGTTCTTTATATCAAATCAAATTTTTTACTCAAATGTTAATTTAAATTTAAGTAATGGTTAAAAATACTCTTAAATGTTGAAATTACAGGGTAATAATGATATAATATCATTTTTATAATTAATATTTGAGTAAAATTATTTTAACCTAAAAATTTGACATAATTGTTGATATTATGATGTTGCTTCATAAGAATTATAGGATCAACATTAAATTCTAATATTTGATAGGGTCGTGATGGTAAATTAGGTCCACAAATTATGTCAATAAATTAAGTCATAATAACATTTGTTTTTACCAATGGGTCTTTGGTCTAATGGTACTCATTATCTCATAAAGGTTTTGCTTCCTTGAGATCAAGGGTTCAAGTCTCCCTCCTCTTCCCTTTCTTCTTCCCCCATAAAAATATAGCATTCCTCTTAATATTTACATCAAATATGTGCAATGCATTATATTTACATCTCTATCCTTCCTAATATTATACCTCCTCTTTTCCCATCCTCCTTGAAGAGAAGAGAAGGGAATATAAAATAAAAATAAAAATTAGAGGATAAGTCAAAAAAAGAGTGAGAAGTTGAACAAACAGTGGGTTGATGAGAGTAACGAGGGAGGTTATGTATGCCTAAGAACATGATTGGGTGAAAGATTGTTTTTTATTAAAAAAAATCTAAATTTTAACAATATAATTAGAAATGGAAAAGCAAAGTTTCTCAAGCCATTTTCTCCTTTAACATGTTTATTATAATATATACTGATGATGCACAAAATGGTTTTGCACACCACCTGTCAAGTGTGAGTAATAAATGCGTAATTAAAATAAAGAGACATGGAGGAGACAACATTTATAGTGGTTCGGTCAATGTAACCTACGTCTACTCTTGAATGGCTTTGGTCGTCGGATATTTTATTAACTTAAGGGTGTGGGTAGCAGAGAATACAAACTTTGAGGAAGAGGGGAGAGTCGTGCCCAGGTAAAAGTGTGATACCTCCTAAGTGTTGGTGGGTGTGTGCAATTTATAGTGGCTCCCTAACAGATTGAGGCTATTTTATAGCAACTAAATAACTATTCTGGTGGAGCTCACGACTTCTTCTCAATGGGCGAGGAGGTTGAGGAGTTCTCTATGAGATGAGGTCAAAGATGAGGTAAGGGTAGACTATTTCCTCTGCAATGCAAGTGAGGCCCTCATGCTCTCTTTCTTGATGACGTAGCCAAGAAAAGAGTCTGACTGGTCTTGGATTGTGTTGGGTTTGGTGGGTCTTTTACAAGATTGGGCTCCTTAATTGGGATTGGGCTTTCCTCATAAATTGGGCTTTTTGGGATTTACCCATCATTTGTCCCCCAATGCCCCGTGTCAAAGGAAACTTGGAGATGGGTGCATTGCATCTTGAGTTATAAGTGACGGAGACTTCCTTTTCTAGATGACTCTTCACTTGCATGATTCATTTTTGTTTTGGTGCACACTTCAAGTCTTTCCCACTTTTGCTAAGATTTTTAAGAGGGTTCATAATTTTCAATTTGGGTTTTTCCCTCTTTAAAAACCCTAGGCTATAAATATAACCTTCTTCTCCATTCTACCCATTTCATTCACTTTAAGGTTGAGCACCCATTCTTTGAAAACCTTGAGAGCCTATCCTTGTGAGCTAAGTTCTTTCCATTCCATAGAGACTTGAGAGAGAAAAGGTAGAGCTTGAAACCTTTGAAGGAGGTGGAAAAATTGGGGCTGAAACAAGTGGTTCCGAAGTTCTTGGAGCTACAAGGATTGAAGGAGGAGAAAGAGAAAAATCCCTGCTGGCTGCCGCTACCATGGGCGAGCACCAGCAGCTCGCGAAGGGGGCTGTGGGAGCTGTCTTAGGAGTTGGTCTGGGCACCTTAGGTGCTTATTTGGGCTGCTTTGGCGAGGTGTCCTACCCAAATAGGTGTGCAGGAAGTATGGTGGACAACGTAGGCGAGATGGGTAGCAGTCTGGGCACCGCTAATGTTGCCTAGACAGCTTAGGCGCACTGGACAGCAGCCCCTCTTCAGTTGGAGGTGTAGGAACTCAGGCCAAGGAGCAACGTAGAGAGCTGGGCAGCAGCCTGGGCGCCAATACAAACTGCCTGGGTGCTGCTGATGCTATCCTGGACAGCAGCGGCGCGCTGGACAGTAGCCCTTTTTCAGTTGGAGGTGTAGGAACTCGGGCCAGGGAGCAACGTGGAGAGCTGGGCAGTAGCCTGGGAGTCAATATGGGATGCCTGAGCATCGAAAACACTGCAGGGGCAGATCTGGGCGCCACTCCAGGTGCTGGTTTGCGCAACTTTGGAGGGCTAAGAAGCACTAGGCTGCCTCATTTGGGCGAGCAGAGGGAATCAGGCACCTCTCCAGGTGCTGGGCTATCTCGTTTGGGCGAGCATGGAGCATCAGGCACCTCTCCGGGTGCTAGGCTAAACGTTGCAGGCGACAAGAAAACTTTGGGTGCCGCTTTTGGTGATCACAACCTGACTCTTCCAAGTTTGACTTCTCAAAGCCAAATCCCTCAAGACGATGGCTCGGGCCACTTCTTACGGCCCCGAAAAAAGAAGCGCAAAGGTAAAGTGGGACTTGATAACGATGGGTCTAAGGTGAGTA